TCCCGATGGTAATTGCAGTGGCACTGTACAAGCATGCCGGACTGCCTCCCTTCCTGGCAGACTGGTTGCTTTTGTCTCTAACAAGGTCTGCAGCTGCGTGGACTCCTTTTGCTTCTTGTTATTGAAATGCCTCTCTTCCTGGGGGCAAAGACTGCTTCTATCTCACAGGAGAGCCCCTTCCTCAATTAAAGAAAAAAAAAAGCCAACCATTTATTTTGAAACAGCAGTGCAATTGGGAGAGTTCATTATATTGGATTAATTACGATAATTATCAGTAGAAGGGAGATAATTACCCTGTTTGTTGTCGAGAACAAGGTAAGGGGTTCTTTTTTTTTTTTTTCCAATTATTGTTCTCTTTTGCACAGACCAGCCCGGTCATGGGGGGGGCGGGGGGCACAGGGGAGGCAAACCCCAGCTCTGGGGTCTCTCCCACTTGCCACCAAAGCCCAACCGTGGATCTCGGTTCAGAAGCATCCTTCCCCTCCCAGCAATGCCCTGCACTGCCGTGGTCCTTACATGAAATGGCCATTGCAACCTGGGCGGCTGTACAGGGCAAGTGCCCGTCCCTGGGAGCGCTGGGAAGAGGGACTGGGAAGTGCTCGCTGCCTTTGTCATTGCTGCAGGTGATGAAGATGGCCAAAAAGCGCCCCAGCTCCTGGCAAAGCTTCACACCGGCCACCAGCCTCCTACCCCTTGGAAGGGAAAGATCGCTCCTCAAGTCATGGCTTCTAGTGGAAATAAGAAAGTAAATTAAAAATTAAATTTAAAATAAATATTGTTTAAATATTAAAAAGAATAAATAATTTTTAAATGGCTGGTGTGTTTCTCGGTAACCCAACCAGGTACGTTTAAATAAAACACGACTGAAAATTTTCAGGTTTTGTCATCCTAGGTATTTTTAAAAATGTTTCTAATAAGGCAAGACTATGTATTTTTCTGCTCTCTTAAGACATTAATTTTAGCAGGTTTCCTGAGGCTAGCAGCATGGAAGGCTGCCCTTGTGAAAGAAGGGAGAAGGAGGTGGTGGCTGCAGGGCCCGGGGTGCTTACAGAAGCAGAGATCCCCGTTGCTGCCTGCTGCGTTGGTCACACATCCAGCCACCTTCAGACAAGCCACCGTCTTTGCAGGCCCACGTTTATGAATGCAAATGCTTGCATAGCTCAGAAAGTTTGCGTCCCTGCGTTACAGAGACAAAGCCTTTGTCTGAGGACGAGGCCGTGGTTGCTGTAGCTCACCCTTGCACCATGTCCCTGAGATACACACACCAACAATGTTCTGGGCACGCAGACCAGGAGGGACACCACCGTTCCTTGTGACACAGGGGGTGTGTGGGATGAGGAGAGCTGCTCCACGTGCAACACACACTGCGTGGAAGGTCTTTCACGTCCCAGGCAGGGCAAGAGACTTGGATCGTGGGACAGCCAGTGAAGGGTGCGACAGCAGACCAAGAAGGCAAAACTGGATTTAAGTGTTGGGGCTGGAACAACAAGAGTAGGAAAGTCCTCTGTAGCTGAGGAGCGGCCTCAAGCCAACGTTTTGGGTCAAACCCCAAATGAACAGGACTCTCGTGAAAGCAACGCTCCTTTGGTGGTCTGCAGCTTCATCTTTGGTGGGAACAAAATTCAAAGTCCTACTGCTCTGAGGGGTAAACAGCACTTCATAAAGAGCGGTGCGAGACTGGGACCCGCAGAGCTTCGGGCGGGCATTAGCCTCCAGGCTGAAGGTGGGTGAGTTTATCACAGGGAGAAATTCTCCTTATGCCCTCCTTCCTCCTCCTCCCGTGGAGCTTGCCGGGAACTTCAGTACCAAAGCCAGCCATGCTGAGAACACGCGCTCACCTCCCACACCTTGTGTTCAGAGGGAAAAATTGATGCTAAAGCCAACCACACCTTTCCCTAAATGGCTGAAGTCAGCTGCGGAGTGGGGAGCGGAGCGGACAGGATCTTTGAATTGATGATGCTTGTCATGTCCAGTCGCCACGTCGCTAATTTTACTGAGCTCTCCCCTCCTCAGCCTTCTGACTGCTGCTCCAAAGGAGCACAAAGCTCTGCGGAGATGCGTTAGGTCGGAGAGTCGTGTCTTGGGCTGTGCTGTCAGCCCCGGGGTGCACCTAGCCCAGGAGCCCCTTTCAGCCGTGACCCAGGGCAGGTGATTTGGGGGTGACCATTGAACGCCCGGTGCGGCAGGGTGCTCCCCATCCCCCGGGGAAAAGCCTCTCTCCGCTCTTGCCGAGACGGAGCGTGCCTGAGCCGGCCGGGGCGAGACCCCCGCCCCGGG